CGATTTCAGATTGAAGAAGTTGGTAGAATTCTTCTATTTCATCTTCACTGGCTTTAGTGGTTGGTGCATAAATTTGAATAATAGTGGTATTAACTTGGCTTCCCTGTAGATGCATGGATATTATCCTATCACTTCCAGCATTGTATCTCATGACTGATCTGCATATGTTCTTTTTTGACGATAATTGCAACACCATTCCTTTTCAATTTACAGATTGTTCTTCTGGTAGTCCATGATATATTCAATGTGTTTCACCAACACCATAATTCAAGGGCATCAGTTCTTCTTCAGTCTTCTTTATTCATTGCCCAGCTTTCACATGAGAGGTGATTGAAAATACCATGGCTTGTGTCAGGCACAAGTGTCCTTGAAGTGCCAGCTTTGCTTTTTAACACTTTAAAGAGACCTTTTACAGCAGATTTGCCCAATGCAATATACCAGTTGATTTCTTAACTGCTGCTACCATGAGTTTTGATAATGGATCCAAGTCAAATGAAATCCTTGACAACTTCAGTCTTTTTCTCAATTATCATGCTGTTGCTCAGTGGTCCCGTTGTGAGCATTTTGTTGTCTTTCTTTTGAAATATAGTCCATACTGAAGGTTTTGATTATCAACCATAAGTTCTTCACATCCTCTTCATTGTCAGCAAGTAAAGTTGTGCCATCTGGATAAGACAGGCTGTTAATGGATTTTCTGCCAATCCTTATGGCATGTTCTTCATATATAGTCCAGCTTGTCAGATGATTTGTGCAGCATACAGATCTAATAAGTATGGTGAAAGGATATAACCCTGCTGCAGTCTTCCTGATTTTAAACTACATAGTTTCCGCTTGTTCTATTTGAATGACTGTGTTTTTGGTCTATTTACAAGTTCCCCAGGAGCAAAATTAAGTGTTCTTGAATTCCCATTCCTCTGATGTTATCTATAGTTTATGATTCATAGTCGAATGTCTTTGTATAGTGTATAAAACACAGGTAAACATCTTCATTTCTGTGCTTTCAGCCAAGATCCATCTGATATCAGCAATGACATTTCATTTCGTGTTGTTGTTGTTAAGTGCCATCGAGTCAGTTCTGACCCGTAGCGACCCTGTGTAGGGTTTCTGAGGAGCGACTGGTGAGCCTGAACTGCCTATCTTGCGGTTCAAACCAAGTTTACAGTCCAGTGCATTAACCCACAGCACCACACCAGGATTCCAGTATTAATGATATTGTTGTATAATTTCTATATTCTGTTCAGTTACCTTTCTTAGGGGCCAGTATGGTTCTCTTCCAGTGGGTTGAAATAGGTAGCTGTCTTCGAAGTTTCTTGGTAGATACTAATGAGCACTTCTAGTGCTATATTCATCTGTTTTTGAAATATCTCAATTGGTATTTCATTGATTCCTGAAGCTGTGTTTTAACCAAAGCCTTCAGTTCAGCTTAGACATTTTCCTTCGGTACCATTGATTCTCAATCATACCATTGATTCTTAATCATATGGTACCTCCTGAAATGGTTGGACATTGACCAATTCTTTTTGATTCACTGATTGTTTTTTCTTTCATCCTTGCTTGATGCTTCCTATCTAGTTCAATATTTTGTCCATGGAATCCTGCAATATTGTAACTCAATTCTTGGATTTTCCCCACCACCCTCCAATTACAGGGCTTATTAGAAAAGTTGACAGGATCCAATTCAGGATTAGAAATGCTCAGGACACAGTTCTTTCAGTCAGGATAGCGTCTTCTCTGCTGTATCCACCGGCAGGCCACTATCCTGCATCAGCAATGTTACAAAGCTTTTTTGGGGCTGCTCTGATAAATGCTCATGGGGAGCATCACTCTACCATAAGCCTGAGCCTGAAGGCCTTCGGTTCTAACTCTCTGGAGGCACCCCACTCTGCAAGCATGCCTCCTGCCCAAAGTCACTCATCTTTACTTGCTACCTGGACTGGAAGTCCACTGCTCTGTCTTGTGCTCTGGCTCTTGGTTCTGCTGTAGCCACTCCTCTGCTTCTCTTCTGGGATCATGGCTTAGTGTCCCTGGGTTGAGGAGTTCAGTGTACAGGGATATCTGGGTCCACAGGAGGTGCTCCACTCTTGAATCTACTTGGAAGCCAGTGAGATTCCCTATTTCTGCTTCTGAGATAGCTTACTGTGTCCCCAGCAGGATGGCCAAATTGACCAATCACAGTTAGCCCTGCTAACAATCACACACCACAGAATTCTGAGTCTGTGAAATGCTTGGATTTTTTCTTCAATTCTTTCAACTTAAGAAATACCATGAGTGTTTTTCCCTTTTGGTTTTCTGACTCCAGGTATTTGCACATTTCATTATAATACTTCATTTTGTCTTCTCAAGCTGCTCTTTGAAATCTTTTTGTTCAGCTCATCATTTCTTTCATTTGCTTTATACTCTACATTCAAGAACAAGTTTCAGAAACTCTACTGATGTCCCATTTGGTCTTTTATTTCTTTCCTGTCTTTTTAAGGATCATGTGCTTTCCTCATGCATGATATCTTTGATGTCATCTCACAGTTCATCTGGTGTTCAGCCATTAGTATTCAGTGTGTCAAACCTAATTGAGATGGTCTTCAAATTCAGGTCGGATATACACAAGGTCTTACTTTGGTTCTTGTGAGCTTGTTTTATTTTTCCTCAGCTTCAGCTGGACTTTCATGATGGTATGTTCTGCAGTCGGTCCTGGCCTTGCTCTGACTGATGATACTGAGCTCTCTATCATCTCTGTCCACATATGTAGTTGATTTGGTTCTTTGTATTTCATCCAGCTAAGTGCACATATACAGGCTCCATTTATGCTGTTGAAAAAGGCATTTCCAGTGAATAAATCGATACTCTTGCAAAATTCTATCATACAATCTCCATTTGTTATTTCTGTCACCAAGACCATATTTTGAGCTACTGATTCTTCTTCTTTTCCAGCTTCCACATTTCATTCTTCAATAAGTATCAGTGCATCTTGATTGCATGCTTGGATCAACTTTAGACTGTAGAACTTCATACAAATCTTCAATTACTTCATGTTTGGCATTAGTAGTTGGTGTGTAAAATTTTAATTATACTTGCTTGTATTAACTGGTCTTTCTTGTAAGTGTATAAACATGCCCCTTTTGCTGATAGTGTAGTACTTCAGTATAGATTTTGAAATGTTCTTTTTGATGATGAATGTGACGCCATTCTTCTTCAACTTGTAATTCCAGGCAGAGTTAACCATATGACTATCTGATTCAGAATGGCCCAGACCAGCTCATTTCGGCTCACGAATGCCTAGGGTATTGATTTATATACATTCTGTTTTATTTTTTATGACTAGATTCTTACTTCATACATTTCACATCCTGATTATTAATGGATGTTTATAGCTGTTTCTTCTCATTTTGTGTTATGCCCCATCAAGTCTTGAAAGCAATGTCATTAAGGTCAATTCTATTTTTAGGAGGATGCTTTTCCTCAGCCATATTTTGAGTGTCCTTGAACCTGAGAGACTCATCTTTCAGCACTATATCATGCATGTTTTGCTAATATTCATAGGTTTTTCCTGGCCATTGTTTTTCTGCAGTAGACTGTCAGGTCCTCTTTCTAGTGTATTGGTCTGGAAGCTCTACGGGAGTCTGTGCACCCTGGGTGACAGTGCTGGTGTTTGAAATATCAGTGACATATTTCCAGTGTCACAGAACACACAAATCATCACAGAATAATAAAATGATAGGCAAGTGGTAGGAAGTACAGAATATCATAATGTAAATGAAGAACTTTAGTGTCAATCTTGTTGGGATAACCTCACATTGTTTGATTCTGCTTCCTTAGTTTTTTCAGCCATGGTTGTGGGAATATTTATTTGTTGTCATTAAGTGTTATTGAGTTGCTTCTGACTTTCAGGAACTTTGCATAGGGTTTCTGAGGCTGTACATATTTGCGGAAGCAGATAGTGTCTTTCTCTCAAGAAGTAACTGGTGGGCTTGAACTGCCAACCTTCGGTTCACAGTTCAGTGCTTATCATGCAGATCCACCATGTTCCCTGTGTGGATATTGTGAGATCCAATGTCTTAAAATATGTTAATTATGAAATTAAAAACATTTTGTATATCTTTTAGATACTATTTTCAGTATGACATATATATACCTATATGTGTTATGTTTTGGTATACATATATTAAAAGAAAATCTTTAAGACACTCATCTTTTTCATTGGTTTTATAGCAACAAATACACTACTTTTTATAAAACTTTGTCCTCCTCTCTACCTTCATTTTGGTTACTGATTGTTTGGTTTGAATGATTTTGGTTTAATTTCTACTATACTCAATAATTGCATACATTATTTAAGAAAAAGAAAGTAAAAACAAATAAAAGTGTTTGCTAGGAAGGGAAAAGGGTTGTGAATTTTCTTTAAACCACATCCTCAATGTCAAGCAGAGATTTAACATTAAATATTAAAATTATCTTATGTTCTTGTCTATTGGCATTCTTATTTATTGTCATTTACTTCTTTTTATTAACTTGAAGATATGCTAAGAAAATTGATAGCTCCTTAAGCTTCAGTTTATAATTCTGGTAATGTATCATCCTTGGAAAATTACATTGTGATTGTTGAGCTATTGAAGTAACCTTGATGTTATGCTTTTGAGAACAGTAATGCATAAGGAATAAATAAAAATACTGAATATTCAATGACTTACATTTTCATATTTAAAAATGCTTTTTGTTTGCCAGAGAATTACTCTCCTGCAAGTATGGTCTCTGAAGTTCTGTGGATTCTCTGTGATCAGAAAGAATGTGCAGTTGAATGTTTGCATAACAACACTGTGATAGAGGCACTTCTTCAGCCGATTTATGATATAATGAAAGGAACTGAGGTTGGTATTATTTACTAAAGAGTACAAGAGTCTCTTAAATGGGTATTAGTGACTATGTAATGGGACTTTTATTCCTAAACTTGATATATTTGAAGTATTACTTCATTACAACTTATTTCTATGATGAATGTGTTTTGTGCTGACGTAGATTTCTATTTATAGTTAATTCATAGTGGATGCAATCAGATGATTTATTAGTTATGACAATGTGGGGGCAAAAGTACATATAGCATCTTAATTTTATCCAGTCAACCTTAAATCTGCTGGTGTGAAGAACTTAGAAAATTTTTATTCTAGTCTATTAAGAAGCTATTTGTCTTGCAAACCTAATAAATCTTGTGAATGGTGTATTTGCTTTAATGGCAATTCTTTGTCTTTGGAAATATGATGATTTTCCAGGAGAGCCTATTTATATTAAGAACTTACTTTATCGTTGTCGTTAAGTGCTGTCAAATAGGTTCTGACTCACAGTTACTCTTTATAAGGGTCTCCAAGGAGCGGCTAGTGAGTTTGATCCGCCGACCTTGTAGTTCAAACTGACCTTGCAGGCCAGTGCTTTATCCCTCACCGGTACTCTTCTGTATTACTTTAAGGAGCCTTATTTGTATAAATCCTGTAGCGCAAGTCTACTCTACCCTGTAGAATTGACTTGACAACACACGACCTCAGTATTACTTTAAAAAGAAAGCTTATTTACAATTCTAGTTTATAAATATGCATATTTCTTTACATTTTCACAGTATATTCCTTTGTTAGGTGACTTGAAGTCTGTTCTGACTCGTGTGGTGCTGTGGGTTAATGCGCCAGACTGCAAAGCTGTTTGAACTGCAAGGGCAGTGGTTCAAGCTCACCAGCCACTGCTCGGAAACCATATACAGGGTCTCTATGGGTCGGAACTGACTCAATGGCACTTAACAACAACATAGGGTTTCTGAGGAGCAACTGGTGGGTTGAACTGCCAGCCTTGCCAATAGCAGTCCAATGCTTTATCCTTTAGCCTCACAGGTATATCCCTTTACATAATATAAGTTAATCTTAACAGCTAAGGCCAAAATTAGTGATTTGCTAAAGATCACACATCTAATTAGTGAGAGATTTAGTTCTGTGACTACAAGCCCTGCTCTCTAATTATTGTTGGTGACTGAGAGTCATTTCTGATTATAGCGATGCTGTATAGGGTTTCTGAGGAGTGGTTGGTGGGTTTGAACTACTGACAGTGCTTATCCTACAGGGCCACACAAGGACTCTGGGCTGCTTTCTAATATATCCCTTTATTTCCATGACTTCATCAAAATGCCTTTTAAAAACGTATCTATAGGCTAACGGAGTCCTGGTGTGGTGCTGTTGGTTACTGCACTAGACTATAAGGTCAGTTTGAACCTCAGGGTTGACAGTTCAAGCTCACCAATTGCTCCTTGGAAACCCTATACAGGGTTTTTATGAATTAGAACCAACTCAACGGCACTTCGCAAAACTAAAAGAGGCTAAAGGTTTTAGTCTATCCCTCTAGTGCTATTACTGTTTAATTTCCTCAATATCCCTATCTCTCGGTGGACTGAGCAACTGTCCATCCATTTTTGCATTCACTCATTCAAAAATTATGTATTAAGAATTTGTGTGAATGTAGTGCAAAGTATGGACTTCTGTAAAATTAATAAGTGGATATAGTGATATATATGTTTGATGATTTTACTGACAACCTTAGGAAAATGAGCTAAGCTGAAAAGAAGCACACAGCATTCATAATACCTAGCTTTATGTAACAGAATGTTGTAGTATCAATAGTTTCGTGAAATATAAATCATAAATTAGAGCTGATACATGTTAATGCTTGCGTCTTTACTTTCATATATCCTTAACTTTTTCTTTTCTTTTCACATTTCCCACTTACCTGCCAATATTCCCAAGTTTGTCTCATAATTGACATGAGAAAGCTCTTGATTACCCTATGTGGATCTTTACCTACTAGCTCATCTTTTAGTGATCATGCTTTTTTTTAAGCATGAATATTGTCATTAATGACTTTGTTCTCTTGCCTCTCAATCATTTTTCAGATTATTGTAGATATGAGTCACCTCCCCCACATCACTCATGCTGCTTTTATTATTGTTACCCATACCTTCCTAAATAGGTAGTTAGTGAGGCCTCTTCAGACTAGTATTTATTTATCTGATCTTTAGCACAGTTTACAACTTTTGAAATTATCTTTATTTGGCTGTCATAAAATTATTCTTTCTCATTTTTCTTCCCATTCTGACCATTTTTGCCCAGTCTCCCCAGAGGCACCCCTTTCAGGCCGCAGGGGTGTTTGGGAATTTATTTACATTTCTTTTCTCTCTGTACACATCTACTGGTTCATTTTCTTCAGTCCATAAATTAATGTTCAGTTAATTTCTAAATTTAGATTTATTTTTTCAAACTCCAGATTTATGTGAGTACCTAACCTGATGAACACCTTTTCGAGCTATTTTGTGAGCAAATCAAATCCAACATTTTCAAGGCAGTAGTATTTTTCTGCTCCTAATCTACTTCTCTAAGCTTCCTTTGGTTTCCCTTTGTGGTAATTAGTACTCTTGGCAAGTTAGACTCCTTCCTTACTCTTGTCATGCAATTAAAGTAATTAAGACCTGTAAATTGGTTTTCCTTCTTATCTCTAAGATACATTTATTTATTGTACTCCCTATTGCTTCTGCTTATGTTTTAGCCTCAACAATTTCTTGCCTAGAATGTTGCAGACATTTCTTTATTTACTTTCCCACCTTCTGCTTTTCAGCTTTCCAGTCTGCATTTCATATTGCCACCAAAGCTGCCATGTAATTTCCTGCTTGTTACTTAATGACTAAATTTCAAAGTTTTAAGCTCCATATTTACTATGTTTTCTATTTTACTATTCTATACGTATGTGGTGGTGTAGTATAAGCACTCCACCACAAGGTTGGTGTTTCAAATTCACCAGCCACTCATCAGAAACCCTATACAGACTATACAGTTAGGCTTCACCAGATGTAATGCACAAATTGACTACATCTATGAAAAACGACATTAGAAAAGACGTTGTTGTTGTGGTTAAGAGACTGTGGAGCCCTGGTATGGTGCTGTAGAATTAGCCCTCAATCATAAGGGTGGTTTGAACCAGTATGTTAGTGGTTCAAATTTCCTTGAAAACCCTATACAGAGTCACTATGAGTTGGAATTGACTTAACAACAACAATGGCGACAGCAGTCCCATGTAGTACCATGTAGTCCTCAAAATGAGGAAAAACATCTGCAAGCATCCATTAAAATCCAAACATGAAATGTATGAAATAGGAATCTAGGAATATTGGAAATCATCAAAAATGAAATGAAAACATAAAGCTCAATATTCTAGGCATTAGTGAGCTGAAATGGACTGGTATTGGCCATTTTGAATCTGACAGCCTTATGGTTTACTATGCCAGGAACAACAAATTCAAGAGGAATGGTGTCATGTTCATCATAAAAAGGAATATTTCAAAATCCGTCTTGAAATACAGTGTTGCCTGTGATAGGAAAATATCCATTTGCCTACAAGAAAGACCAGTTAATACCACTGTCATTCAAATTTCATAACAATCAGTAAAGCCAGTGATGATGGATCTGAAGACATCTACAAACTTCGTTAGTCTGAAATTGATCAAACATGCAATAAAGATGTATTGATAACTGCTTGTGGCTAGAATGTGAAGGTTGGAAACAAAGAAGAATCAATAGGTTGAAAACATGGCCTCACTGATAGAAATGATGCTGGAACTTGCATGATAGAATTTTGCAAGGTTATAACGTACTCATTACAAAGACCTTTTTTAAACAACATAAAAAGTGACTATACACCTAGGCCTATCCAGATGGAATACACAAGAATCAAATTGGCTACATCTGTGAAAAAGAGATGGCGGAAAAGCACAATATCATCAGCCAAAAAAAGCCAGGAGCCTTCAGACTGACTGACTATCAATTGCTCAGGTACACTTTCAGACTGAAGCTGAAGAAAATTAAAAGAAGTCCATGAGAGCCAAATGTGACCTTGAACATATCCAGCCTGAATTTAGTGATCATCTCTAGAACAGATTTGATGAATTAGACACTAATGACCGAAGACCAGAAGAACTGAGGGATGACATCAAGAGCATCATACAAGAATAAATCAAAAGGTCACTAAAAAAGACAGGAAAGAAAGCAAAGACCAAAATGTATGTTAGTAGAGATTCTGAAACTGACTTTACATCTTAGAGATGCTAAAGTGAATGGAAGAAATGAAGAATTCAAAGACCTGAACAGAAAATTTCAAAGAGCATCTTGAGAAGACAAAGTGAAATATTATAATGAAATATGCAGAGAACTGGAGCTAGAAAACCAAGAGGGAAGAAAACATTCAGCAATTCGCAAGCAGAAAGAACAGAAGTGAAAATTCAAGCCTCGACTTGCAATATTGAAGGATTCTATGGGTAAAATATTGAATGGTGCAGAAAGCATCAAAAGAAGATGTAATGTATACATGACTCACTGTACGAAAAAGAAATAATAGACGTTCAACCACTTTAGAGGGTAGCATGCTGTCAAGAACCAACAGTACTGAAGAAAGAAGTCCAAACTGTACTGCAGGCATTGGTATAAAACAAGGCTGATATCAGTGGATCTTGGCTGAAAGCAGAAAATGCCAGAAAAATGTATACTTGTGCTTTATTGACATGCAAAGGCTTTTGACTGTGTGGATCATGACAAGTTATGGATAACACTGTGAAGAGTGGCTATTCCAGAACACAGTTGTGCTCATGAGAAATCTGTACATAGACCAAGAGGCAGTTTGAACGGAACAGGAGGATACTGAATGGTTTATAATCAGGAAAGGTGTGTCACCAAAGTTGTATTCTTTCATCATACTTATCCAATATTAATTCTGAGCAAATTATCAGAGAAACTGAATTATATGAAGAAGAATGTGGCATCAGAATTGGAGGAAGATTCTAACAATTTATAATATGCAAAGGACACAGTTTTGCTAGCTGAAAGCAAAGAGGACTTAAATTACTGATAAAGATCAAAGATTTCAGTATGGATTACACCTCAGTGTAAAGAAAACAAAAATCCTTACTTGTGGATGAATAAATAGTATCATGATAGATGGACAAAAGATTGAAGTTGATAAATACTTCATTTTTCTTATATCCACAATCAACACTTGTGGAAGCAGCAGTCAAGAAATCAAAGGACATATTGCATTAGGCAACTCTGCATAGACCTCTTTAAAGTGTTCAATAGCAAAGATATTTTGAAGACTAAGATGCATCTGACTCAAGGTGTGGGATTTTCAGTAGTCTCATATGCATGTGAAAGTTAACAATGAATAAGGAAGGCAGTCGAAGAATTGACACATTTGATTTATGGTGTTGGAGAATAGTATATTAAAATACACTGGAGTACCAGAAGAACAAACAAATGTGTGCTAGAAGTACAACAAGAATGTTCCTTAGGAGTCAGGATGGCGAGACTTTGTCTCTCATTTTTAGGACATGTTATCAGGAGGGACTAGTCCTAGAGAGGGACATCCTGCTTGGTAAAGCAGAGGGTCAGCAAAAAGGAAAAAGACCCCAGTGAACTGGTTTGGCACAGTGGCAGCAAAACGTGTTCAAGTGAAATATTAATTGTGAGGATGGAGCAGCACTGGACAGTGTTTTGTTTTGTTTTGTTGTATAGAGTTGCTATGAGTCAGAGCTGATTCAATGGCAACTACAAACAACAACAACAACAGTGCAGTCATAAGAACACCATTTACATCGTACAAATAAGGTTTTTGTGTTTTCATACTTTCCCCTCATCTTGTTGTGTCCTCAGCTTGGCTTACTTGGAAAATTTTCTCTGTAGACTGTAGATTATTTCCTGAACATTTCTTGAAATTTACTCCCAATACCCTGAAATTGACAAAGTACGTACTTCTTTTTCTGTAATCCCATATTACGTATTTCTTTGTACTCCTATGATGCTAGAATTACTTATTCTTGGTGTTAGGGAACAGACCTCGGACACAGAGCTGACATTCAGTATCAAATTTAATACATTCAGCATCACGCATTGAATCCCAACCTTAGTGCTAGCACTGTCTCAGTTCTAGGAATATAGAAATAAAAAAGAATTGCGTTTTAAGAAACCTATTCTAATAGGCAAGGTAGGCTTTTATACATATAAAATATTGAAAATGAGGAGCAGAAAGTTAAAAAGTATATGCTTGCGTTTCTGTTTGTTTAAGAGAAAAAGAATGCATTCTGGGGAGAAAAGTATGCTTGTGTGTGTACTTAAAGTTATTTACTGTGAAAAGTTAAAAGTAGAAACTGGCTAATAGGTTGAAGTTCTCTCCAGGTAAATATACCTGACTCATCATCAATAATGCCAATCCACTGAATTTTTTGTATTACTTGGAAGGTATAAATTCTAATTCAGATTTACTATAGAGCATATATACATTGGCATTCATCCAGGTAAATAAGCAAGTCCTAGAAAGAACAGAAACTATATTAGATAGAGACTTCTTGATGGCCTCTAATATTTGCTTTATACTATTTTTATATGCTTTGGTAAAGGTACTTTAGTATTTCCATTTATAAATCAAAAGCAAAAAAATATATTTAATTCAACTTATTTTTCTCATAAGGTGACATCATTTTCCATATACCAGTCCATGGGTTGGTTGACTCATGAGCTAATCAACTGTGGGAGGGGATTTTTTTCCCTAATAAAGGGTAATATTATATCATACATTTGTATAATCTAGTTTCATTGGATGTGTAGAAGCTTAATGGGTGGGAAACAATGAACAAAGTAGAAATAGAGGGCCAACTGCATTTGTCAACCAGAATTATGTATAAAGCTGTAACAGAAGCAGCAATTCTCATAATTATCCTAGTAAACGATAAGTGGATTGGGTGAAAAATCTGTATGTATTTGCCTCATCAACTCTGCTGGTGTGAGCATATAATATAATGACATAGTTAGTTCATATATATCATCATATAGCCAAGGAATCATTAAATTTTTTATGACAATACAGCTTTATTAAGCTATTTTACCACCTTGAATTTTAGTCTGTTATGTGTGCATGTTGTTAAATTATATGATTTGTCTTGTTATCTTTTTAATATACAGGCTGCTTCACATTGCTCGGAAACAGCTTTAATTTATATAGCTGATATCTTGGCAAGAATTGCATCTGTAGAAGAAGGTCTTATATTACTTCTTTATGGAGAGAATATGAACTCTTCCAAAGAAGAAAAGTATGTACCTACATTAATCATTTGTTATTTTATAGTAAAATATATTTTCTCTGTTTGATTAAAAGTTTCTGAAATGTCATGCTATGATATGAATAGTGAATGTCTGACTAATTATTTCCAGTTAGGTTTCCTGGCCAATCAGCAGTAAACTAGTAGGTGACCTTAGAAGACTAAAGGAGTAGCCAGGGTCATTGATTGTGCTGGCAGAGTAGACCTACCAAAACTCAAACCTACTGCTCTTGAGTCAGTTGCAACTCTTAGCGACCCTATAGGTCAGAGAAGCATCACTCCATAGTATTTTCAGGGCTGCGAATCTTTACAAAAGCAGACTGCCACATCTTTCTCCCATGGAGCCACTGGTGGTTTCAAACCACTGTCCTAACTGCAGCTGAGGGCTTAAACCATGGTGCCACTAGACCTCCAGGCCTAGTTGTTCAGAATTTCAAAATAAGAACGTTTGGTATTTTCAATATCCTCGTATGGATGCGAAAGCTGGACAGTGAATAAGGAAGATCATAGAAGAATTGATGCCTTTGAGTTGTGGTGTTTAAGGAGAATACTAAAAGTGCCATGGACTGCCAAAAGAACCAACAGATCTGTTTTAGAAGAAGTGCAGCCAGAGTGCTCCTTGGAGGCCAGGATGGCTAAGCTTC